AATATCTTCAGGATATATTTTCATGACTGTTTCATTATACTGACTTTAAAATTGAATATTTAATCTTTATCTGTATAATGGTAATTCAGTACTTTCAAGCAGTAGCTGTCCCTCCAAACAAATGATTTAGAACCATCACAAACAGCGAGGTGACCTTGATGTCACTGTAATTAGAGTCCACATCCTTTGACCACATTGGTTGGTTTGGACCACTGTAAAGAGGGTAACTCCCAGGCTTCTTACATCAGTAACTAACATAGGAGACCTTGCAGAAGCTTGTTTGGCAGGAGAAAATAAGTTCATTTTTGAACATGTTGAATTTGAGGAGTCTGGGAACAGTCCATGCAGTGCTGAGAGTTCAGTTCAGTGTACACACCCGGGTTTGGACAAAAGATCTGCTCTGGAAACAAGTTTGAAAGTCTGTTGATTATAGATAGCACTGTTGATGTTGGAGTGGTCAGATCAGCCAGGGAGAAAGCATGAGGAAGAGAAGATAGAGGCCGAAGGGAATCCTGCAGACACTAGAATGTAATGGGCTCATCAAAGAGGAGCTTAGCAGTGGCCAGAGAGTTAAAGAACTCCAGGAGAATTGCCTTAAGAATGCCAAGCAAAGAGAATGTTTGAGAGAGAGTCTCTTCTGAATGCTGCAGAGATGCCACCCAAGAGGAGAATGGAGAAGTGTCCATTTGTTTTGGTGACAAAGAGGTCAGAGGTGACCTTAAAGAGCACTTTTTGAGAACCACGCCAATTTGAAGTAGGCTTAAAAAGTTTGGCTGTGAAGGGTGGAAGAAGGAATAAAAGCTATAGGGTCTAGGGTCAATGTAGAGTTTTCTTTGCTATTGAAAGATCGGAGGAACTCAGTCTTTGATGAGAAGCACCTGAGTATAATGATAAAGAAGAAAGAAAGGATAGTTAATAGTGCCAGTTTTTGGAGAAGGGGTAGCTTGAGCACAGGTGAAGGAATTAGCTTAAGAGGGAGGAAGGGAGGATGGCTTATAGTTGGAGGATAGTAACCCATTACAGGACGTTGGAGTGGTTCTCATCTGATGTTTTTTAGGCACTATCACCTGTCAGGTGTTGGGCATAGGGTTGAAAGCTTGAGGGGAGAGTGAAGAGTGTTTGAAATTTTGAGATAGAATATTCTGTTGATGTTGTGGGAGTCTGTTAAATTTTGGGAACATATGTTCATAGTCTACCCTGTTGTGTAATACTTCTCCAGGAGCACTCAGCAATCCAAGTCTGGGCCATGGAGTTTTGATTGATAAGAGTGACTAAAATGATAGACTGAGGAACCTAACCTTGATTTACAAAGGAAATAAAGCCTGGAAGGGGCCACTAGGGAGAGAGAATATGGAGAGGTCTGTGTACAGGAGGAAGAACAGAGGTATCTAGAGAGGGGAGCAAACAGACCCAAAGGGTAGGATGTTGGGGCCAGAGCCTGGGATGTGTGATTGCAGTATTTCAGAGCTGGGGCAGTTGCAGGCAGTAACGAAGTATGGGCTGTAGCTGGAGCGGAATGGAATAACTCAAGTATCCTAGACAGGAAGATTGTTGAGAGATGAGATTGTTAAAGAAACTGTGGGGATGGGTTGAAGGGGTTACCCGTGTGTGCATGTTTGAGGTCACCGGCGTGACATAGGATGACAGGAGTTGGGTGGAGAGGAAGAGTAGAAAGGATTGCTGAAGTCTTCGGTGAGGGAGGGAGGGAGCATGACAGGAAGGAGAGGTGATGTAACCCAGTGGCATCTGTGTCAGCGGGGAGGTGGGTCTGCAGATGGGTAGAGGAGCTGTGGTATAAAGTGCAAAGTGCGCTCAGCAGGACACAGGCACGCGCTGCTTGGGATGTGGCAGGATGAGCAGCCTTTGCCAGAGGGTTGCAGGAGAGCAGGGCCTGACAGGGTGACGGGCTTCCGGGAAGACAAGTTGCCGAGGGCATGCTGAGGGAGGAACTGGAGGACATAGATGCATTGGTTGATTATGGAGGATTTCTAGAAGGTACAGGGAAGTGTTCAAAAGGAGAAGGGTTGGAAGGTTGGCTGAAGGGAAAGAAAGCAATATTACCTACCCGAATTCCAAGTACAAAAGAGGCTAAATCATTGGTGGGGTTCCCAGAGCACACTTTTCTGGCCCGACTTTATCTAGAGGATTGTACCCACATTTAAGAAACAGAAATTTGGAGTTCATTCAGCGGAAAGGGGCAGGAATATTTCTGACCACTGAGCATTAACAAATACTTGTTGAATGCCTGTAATGTGCGGAACACTGCCCAGCCCCGGGAATATGTAGGTAGTATGAGTCACAGTCATTGTCCTTGAGGAGGAGACGTGTATGCGAACCACAAACTGCCATAGTGCAGTGTCACGAGTCCGCCAGGGGACTGTGGTGAATTAGAAGAGTGCTCGGAAGGAGAGGCGCTATTCTGCTCCGCTCGTTGTTGCCACATGACAGTGCAAATGCAGGGTTGCCAGATTTTCTTGTTATTTTAAGAGGAACCAGAAATCTCTGTGTTTATGTATTTTTTTTTAAGATTGTATTTATTTATTTATTTATTTGACAGAGAGAGAGAGACAGCAAGAGAGGTAACACAAGTAGGGGGGAGTGGGAGAGGGAGAAGCAGGCTTCCCATTAACGGGGAGCCCGATGCCGGGCTTGATCCCAGGTCTGGGATCATGACCTGAGCCAAAGGCAGATGCTAAACAACTGAGCCACCCAGGTGCCCCGAAATCTCTGTGTTTAAATGTAATTTCCTTAGGGCATCTACGTGGCTCAGTCAGTTAAATACCCAGCTCTTGATTTCAGCTGAGGTCATGATCTCAGGGTCCTGGGATTGGGCTCTACATCCGGCTCTAGCAGCAGGGAATCTGCTTGAGGATTCTCTCCCTCTCCCCATCCCACCATGTGCTCACACACTCTATCCCCTCCCCAAAATAAATCTTAAAAAAATAAAAAAATACAATACAAAACAGATCACACAAAACACTTAAGTGGGCTGCCCAGCTTATAACCTCTGAGAGTGTATCTCAAAACCATTTTGTACGAGGAATGGCTCGATGAAATGGGCATTGTGATCAGCCTGGAGAGACATGGACAATAACTTCAACGGTGTAAAGGACTGTCATATGGAAGACAGACCAGACTTGCATTCTTTATAGCCCAAAAAGATAAAACAGTGTCATCAGGCATCATATTCCAGCTTAAAATAGGAAGGAACTCTGTAATGACCAAAGATGCCTGAAGACACAGCGAGATGCTCTTGCTGGGAGCAAGTGGACGGGCAGCTGTGGAGGGATACAGAGGGAAACAGCAGGCTCCTTATCCAAGGGTCTCTTCTAGTTCTAAAGTCCCACTCTTCTGAGTGCATGAGGAACCAAGTGGACAGGAGAAATGGGCAGAGAGGATATCGGGGGCAAGCAGAAAACATCAGAAGTAGAGGTGCGAGGGGACCTCAGGATTTGTGTGAATGGCTTAGGCAGAGACTGGACAGCCAGGAAGGTCATCAAGACTGTGGGACAGAAGTGACTGTGGGCACAGGGGGAACTCACCTTCCCCTCATTCCTTCCTTTGACCCTGAAGAGACATACGAGAGGCTCGAGGCTGACAAAAAGAAGCAGGTGCACAAGAAGCGGAAGTGCCCAGGGCCCATAATCACCTATCATTCGGTGACGGTGCCGCTTGTTGGGGAGCCAGGCCCTAAAGAGGAGAATGTGGATGTGGAAGGGTGAGTGTGTCACAAGAAGGGGAGAGAGCCTTCTTCTGCCCTCCTCAGCTCTCCTCACGCAGCTCTCTCCAACATGTGGATGTCTTTCAGAGTTCTTTTCCCTCAGCTCCATGTTTCTTTTAGCCTCTCCTCATTCTCTCCAGTTTTTCATTCAGCCCAGCTTGCTTTTCCCCATCTGTCACTTTGATTCTCTAAGAACGTTCCCATCGCTCTTTCTCCTTCATCTCTTTCCTTGCCTGTCTGATCTCTCTTTATCTGTTGTTTTTTCTCCTCAGAAGTTTTTGTGTTTCTGTCTCTCCCCTTAGACTGGATCCTACTCCCACAGCCTCTACGCTGACTCCCCGTGCCGGCACTGGACCCGTCGTCCCTCCAGCTCGCTGCTCCCGTACCTTCATCACTTTTAGCGATGATGCAACATTTGAGGAATGGTTTCCCCAAGGGCGGCCCCCAAAGGTCCCTGTTCGGGAGGTCTGCCCTGTCACCCATCGGCCAGCCCTGTACCGGGACCCTGTCACAGACATCCCCTATGCCACTGCTCGAGCCTTCAAGATCATCCGTGAGGCCTACAAGAAGTACATCACTGCCCACGGACTGCCGCCCACTGCCTCAGCGCTGGGCCCTGGCCCGCCACCTCCTGAGCCCCTCCCTGGTTCTGGGCCCCGAGCCTTGCGCCAGAAAATTGTCATCAAATAAGATGCTTAGTCCTTAGAAACCCCTCTCCTGCCTTGACTTGGGGCTCTTCACGTTTCCCCTTGTCTCCCTGCTTTTCCTCTTTGTCAGCTCTGAACTTTGCCCAGCCCTTTTCTATATTTCTTCCCCCCCCCCGGTTCCTGCTGGTTTTGTGTTTTTTAATCTAATAAAAAAGAAGCATCCCCTTTGTCTGGTGTCTGATCTAGAGTTGGGAGCAAGAAGTCTTTGTGAATGTCTGAGTATATAAGGGTCTTCATTTTATTTAATAGAGTTGATCGTGAGCTTCCTTTTTAAAATTCTAAGTATTCATTCCTGCAGCTGGATTATAAACAACTTTAAATTAGACATCCAAACAATATTCTTATACCTACCTTTATATCACCTTGTAGTCACTGCTTCAAATATAGCAAGGCACCAAATATGTAGGAACTGGGTGATTCTCCTACAACAGTTGCTCGGACTGAGGCTGCTACGCAGGAGGGGAAGGAAGTGCCATGGCTGTTGGTGGCCACTAGAGGCTCTCCGGGCCGGGCAGGGTATGGGGGCTGTGTATATGTGATCTCCCACCACCCCCCACCTGGCCAGAGCTAAAATAATAAAATGCTGAGCTCACTGTTCCCCCACCCTCTTCCCCGGCACCGGGCTCCTCCCGCTGCTGGGACAGTGCTCCAGTAGCACCGACAGACCAACCGACAGAAGGGGAGGTGAGAAGGGAGGTGGCCACCAGGACTGGTAGGTGGGGAAGGCAGGGGGCTTATGGATCAGAGCCTGGCGGGAGATGGGAGGAGAGGGGTGTCTCCTATTGGGAATGATATGGAGTGTGTCTCTGTCTCTCAGCATATGTTTCTGCCACCGTCCGTCCTATCTCTTAACGGTAGTTTACATTGTCAATGCAAGTATCTCACACACTTTCTGGATCTTTCATATTTGGCATGGTGTGTATGTGTAGCTTGTGTGTATTTTCCCTAATGTAAAAGACTGTGAGTTTAATCTTCCCACTGTTTTTAGAGAAACTTTATCGCATTTAGAAGGTATTTCCCACCCATTGGTCCGGTGTCACCTTCCCGTCTAAAGCCAGGGACAAATTGTAGGGACTCGGTCCCTTTTGAGACCGTACCACCCTTCCCCCAACCTGGAAGTCCCCCAGCTCTTCTGAGCCCTTGCTTTCCCTTGGGATTTAGAGTTTTAGCAAACATAGAAAGGGAAATTGTGATTCCCCCACAATAAAAGAGGAAATGAGGGTAGAGGAAGAGAACTGTCTCTTTTTCTCCCAACCCCCCCCCCCTTGCTTTCTTAAACCAGTTTAGGGAAAAGGCTGGATTATGAGGAAGAGAGGAGGAATTTCCCTGAAGTTCTCTGTATGCCCCCCTTCCTCTCAATAGGAACTGGGCATGGGGCCAGCTGTGTTGGCAGGGGCCCTGGCAGCTGTACTTGGGCAAGAGGCACCAATGGGCAAGGTTATAGGGGAGGGTGCTGCCAGGATTTCTCTGTCATACAATGGGCAGATAAATCCAGCTTGGATGCCTGGGATCCCCATCCAGAGTGGCTGAAGCTGGGGAAGCAGGAAGAAGCAAGCTCTGGTTCTAACTACACAACCTAACCTCTCCCCATCTTCCCATGCCTGACTAGATTTCTAACCTCCAAGGCATCTAGTTCATCGTTCTACCCCCCGGCTGTTTTATGTCCTGCTGCATCTGTGAACATCTTTCCATTATGCAATCACTTTCCCCATGTCCCCCAGGCTCCGTGAGTGCCACACAGTGGGGAGGGGGTGGGGGCCATCATGTCATCGTATCAGAAGGAACTGGAGAAATACAGAGACATAGATGAAGATGAGATCCTAAGGACCTTGAGCCCTGAGGAGCTAGAGCAGCTGGACTGCGAGCTACAGGAGATGGACCCCGAGGTAGGGGCCCCAGCACAGGCGACCAAGAGCAGTCTCCAGGCATTTGGGAAGGGTGAGGGGTCCTGGGTGGCTAAGGTCAGGGCTGCCTACAGGGCTTGAAGTCCCCAGGGGGCCAGGGAAAATGTGTCTTTAGATGTTTTAGGGAGCCCTGGAGGTGCTCCAGATCAGAGGTCTTACTTGCTCCCCAAAACTCATCCCTAAGAACATGCTCCTGCCAGCTGGACTAAGACAACGTGACCAGACAAAGAAGAGTCCAACAGGGCCCCTGGACCGGGATGCCCTTTTGCAGTACCTGGAGCAGCAGGCACTAGAGGTCAAAGAGCGTGATGACTTGGTGCCCTTCACAGGCGAGAAGAAAGGTATGGAGACCCTAACAACCATGCCTACCCAAATCCAAATGGGTGTCTCTCAAGTGTACCCCCTCCAGCTTCCCTCTCACCTTCCAGCTTCTAGCTGCCCAGGGACTCGGCCACCCTGAAACCTACATGCCATCTTTCACTGTTCAACTTTTTTTTTTTTTAAGATTTTATTTATTTATTTGTCAGAGTGAGCACAGGCAGACAGAGTGGCAGGCAGAGGCAGATGGAGAAGCAGGCTCCCGCTGAGCAAGGAGCCCGATGTGGGACTCGATCCCAGGACGCTGGGACCATGACCTGAGCCGAAGGCAGCGGCTTAACCAACTGAGCCACCCAGGCGCCCCTCACTGTTCAACTTTTAGAAGAGATCAGGGGACCCAGGAGTCCTGAGCTGGTAGAGGACTCAGGCTTTACAGTGGCCCCTAATGACTCAGACCTCTACCTCCTGGAGAAGGAAAGGAAGCTGAAGACCAGGATCTTAGGAGGAATAACCTCTACTTGAACCGTCCTTCATCTCCCCATCAGGGAAACCCTATATTCAGCCCAAGAGAGAAATTCCTGCACAGGAGCAGATCACCCTGGAGCCTGAACTGGAAGAGGCACTGGCCAATGCCACAGATGCTGAAATGTGTGATATTGCAGGTGGGCTGCTGTGGGAAGTTGAGGAGGGTGGGGACACCAGGGCCAGGGGTTTCCACCCAGGGCATGGGACTAGTGAGGAAGGCCCTGAATAGGACACAGATGTTAGAGAAAGCCTCAGGTCGTGGTTTAAAAATTTTTTTTGGTTTATATATTCACTTGTTCATTTTTTAATTTCATAGTTCACATCTCAAAAGCAATTTTACAGGGATTGCAAGGCAGATAAAAGTGGAACTACCCCAGCTGAAAGCAGGAGGAAGTCAGACACACACACACACACACACACACACCCTTTTTTTCCTGAATGTGAAATGCTATTGTTTTTCTCTCCCTCATCCTCTAGGGGTTCTTTTTTTTTTTTTTTTTTTAAAGATTTTATTTATTTATTTGACAGAGAGAGATCACAAAGCAGGCAGAGAGGCAGGCAGAGAGAGAGGAGGAAGCAGGCTCCCTGCTGAGCAGAGAGCCCGACGCGGGGCTCGATCCCAGGACCCTGAGATCATGACCCGAGCCAAAGGCAGCGGCTTAACCCACTGAGCCACCCAGGCGCCCCCCTCTAGGGGTTCTTTAGGGACTTACCCTTAGCCCTGTCTCAAAGTCTTAAAAACCACCACTTTAAGCAGTTCATGGAAGGGAACTCTGGGACCTAGGGATAGTGGGAACCTCGTTGGAAGAGTGGAAGAGGTCAGGCCTGAAAACTACAACCGATTCAGAATGAGGAGGGAGGGGGCCTGGGAACAAACCCGTGGCCCCTCTACTTGCTCTCTCCAGCAATTCTGGGCATGTACACACTGATGAGCAACAAGCAATACTATGACGCCATCTGCAGCGGAGAGATTTGCAACACGGAAGGCATCAGCAGTAAGTGTGTCTGGGGGCATGGCACCAGGGGCTTTGGCAGGCAGTCCCAGTCAGAGGAAAGGTAGTGAAGGGTGAGACAGGGGGTTCATGGAGAGAGTATGGTACATGAATAATAAGAGAACCAATGGGGAGGAGATTGTGGGGAACATGTTGGGGTTTCCTTCTGGCCCTCACCCACCAGGCGTGGTGCAGCCTGACAAGTACAAACCAGTGCCAGATGAGCCCCCAAATCCCACAAACATCGAGGAGATCCTAAAGAGTGTTCGAAACAATGACAAGGAGCTAGAGGAGGTGAACCTCAATAACATACAGGTATCTGACCGCCCCCTGCCATTCTTCCCATTGAACTATGAGTCCCAGATACGTGAGTCCCTTAGCCTGCCATCTCTTCCCCTGTGACAGGACATCCCGATCCCCATGCTAACAGAGTTATGTGAAGCAATGAAGACAAATACCTACGTCCGGAGCTTCAGTCTGGTGGCCACAAGGAGTGGTGACCCCATTGCCAATGTAAGGCAACTTGAAATCCCTAGCCCTCCCCCCGTACCATGACATGTACCCCCACCAGGGCTGTCCGAAGGGGTTGTGCTGGGGGTGCTATTCCCATCATGTTCTCTTAGGGTAGCTTGATGGATACCCTACCCTCACTCCTATGGCTCATCGCTCTGAAATCTTCAGATTACCTTCTCAGAGAGCCACAACCATCTCATCAGCCCACCGACTCCACCACAAGTTTACCTCTGTGTTTCCCCTACTACCTGCGATCCCTTCTGTCTCCCTCTAGCCTCTAGCTCCTCAAGGCCTCTTCTTAAAGAGCTGTGTTCCCTCTTGCTCCTGTTCTTTCTTCAGTCACTTGTGAAACTGTCCCCTAATCCTAACCCAAGTCCCTACTCCCCAGGCGGTGGCAGACATGTTGCGTGAAAATCGTAGCCTCCAGAGCTTGAACATTGAATCCAACTTCATCAGCAGCACAGGGCTCATGGCTGTGCTGAAGGCAGTTCGGGAAAATGCCACACTCACTGAGCTCCGTGTAGACAACCAGGTCAGCATTCCCTTCCTCTGGTCTTTGCATTCAGCTAATATTCACTGACTCTCTTCCCTTGGGCAGCCACTACTGGATCAGGATCTCATCTACTTTTATGGGAATTCTCCTCTTCATTGTCTCTATGGAGGGAGCCAAGTCAGCCCCTCATCACCCACTGTGATGAAACAAGCTTCTTTGACCCCCCCCAAAGGGTTGGTGGTATGGGGCCATGAACAACACAGAGAGTGTAGCTGACGGGTCTCATCTCTCCCTCCCCTAGCGCCAGTGGCCTGGCGATGCAGTGGAGATGGAGATGGCCACAGTGCTGGAACAGTGTCCCTCCATTGTCCGCTTTGGCTACCACTTTACACAGCAGGGGCCACGAGCTCGGGCGGCCCAGGCCATGACCCGGAACAATGAACTACGTGAGTAAATGCAGACATGTTCTATGGAGGAAAGGGCAAGGAAGTAGTGGATCCTCTGGAAAGCTGACTTAGTGACTAATAGCCTGGGGTGCTGCCAAAGCAATAATCACATGAGAAGTCCTAAGTGACCAGAAAGTAGATAGAAAAGTCCCCTGCCCCAAATTTATACCTGTAGAAAGGAGGAAAAGAATCTAGACATACCTGTTTGTGGGCATGGTATTTTTATTTGCCATGTCATTTCTTATTTTGCTTTGTTAATGAGGGGTGGGTATGCTTGCTGGCCGAAGACATTACCTCTTTATGAGTCTGGCTGAGGAACTGGAAAGGGGAAGAAGAGCATCTTTGCAGGAAGGAGAAGATGGAACAAAGGCTTGTGTTTACTCTCTCCCATTACAGGTCGCCAGCAAAAAAAGAGATAACACTGCCTTTTCCCCTTACCAACTAGAGCTGGGAGCCCTGAATGTCTAAATCCTCATCTCTCCCCTTCCTGTAAATAAAGGCCCTTCTGTCCACTCTGCCTGCCTCCTTCCTTGGGCTTTGGGGTGGGAATCTTGGCGCTAACCCCCAAGGGTTACTGCCAGTTCATCAGGGGATTATTTATACTCTGGGGATCAGCAGGCAGGGAGGGTCAAGTTACTAGGCAGGGGTGGGGGAGCTCCCTCCCTTGGTGTTCCCCATGGCCCTGCCAATGCTTTTAGTCCCTTCTGCTCTCACAGGGTACCTACCCCAGCCCTCTTTCCAGATGTGGCCAGGCCCCCTGGTGCCTACCCACAACCCTCATGTGATCTAAACGAGGAAAGGACTTTGAGTGGAGGTGAGGAAGAAGGCAGAGAACATGAAGGGCAAAGACCTCCTTCTGACAGACTTATTAATAGGGCATTGGGCTGCGTGCAGCTGACGCTTGGCATGACTTTGGTAGAAGGTGGGGGAGGGGATAGAAGTATGGGGAGCCATGTACCTTGCAGGGAAGAGTTAGCCAGGCTAAGAATGCAGATTTAAAATCCTGAAATGGGGGGCACCTGGATGGCTCAGTCAATTAAGCATCTGACTCTTGAGCTCAGCTCAGGTCTTGATCTCAGAGTCATGAGTTCAAGCCCCACCTTGGGCTCCACGCTGGGCACGCAGTCTCCTTAAAAAAAAATCTACCAGTGAAATCCTGAAAATGGACAAGGAAGCAGACTCAAGGAAACTTAGGCTCCCAGAGCCCATTGAAATTTATTTGTGAACTGAGAGGGGAAAGAGGCTGTCAATCTAAGGGGAGATCAGGGGGCTCCTCTTCATCAGAGTCAAACTCAACATTCTCATCTTTTACCCATCGACCTTGTCCATCTGGGATCCATCCAGAGCTAGAAATATCAGAGAAAACAGAATAGGTCATGAAAAGAGGCTTAAGTTAGTGCAGATAACATGAGAAGGACTGAAATAAAGAGACTCAGAGAGAAAAGAGAAAACTTGAGGAAAGTGATTCTCCATACTCACCTTCGAAGGGTGAGGTAATGATCCAGGGCTCTTCTTCTCGTGGGGCTCATGGGTGCAGGGGACGAGACAGTTGCTGACTCTTTGGCCTGTGGGCCAGTCCCGGGCATGGGTTCTCTAGTAATCTTCCCACCCTTGGGCTCAACCTCTGGGGGTGGCAAAGGGGAATGGGAGACAGAGGGACGAGGGGTTTCTGGTCTGGGTAGAGAAGAAACAACGTCTATAAAAGTGATAAAGGAAAAGGGCAATTTCCCTATGACTCCCAATCCCTTATAGCAGTACTTCCTAAACTGTGTTCCTCAAGATATTACTAAGTATCCTACATAACAAGGAATTTTGGAATCAAATGAATTTTTAAAAGGCTAGGTTATGGGGCGCCTGGGTGGCTCAGTGGGTTAAGCCTCTACCTTCGGCTCAGGTCATGATCTCAGGGTCCTGGGATTGAGCCCCGCATTGGGCTCTCTGCTCAGTAGGGAGCCTGCTTCCCTCTCTCTCTCTGACTGCCTCTCTGCCTATTTGTGATCTCTCTCTCTCTCTCTCAAATGAATAAAATCTTTAAAAAAAAAAAATTAAAAAAAATAAAAGGCTAGGTTAAAACTTTTGAGGGTTTTTTTTTTATCTTAAGACTTTGTAGAGACCTTTAAATATACTAACATTACTACTCTTCAAGTAGGATTACAAAGTGCCACTTCCAAAACTAAAGAAAAAAAAGACAAAATTCTCTTTTTTTCTGAAATACCAGTTAACATCTCAGGAATAGTAGTAGTATTCCTGAGAATACAGTTTGGAATACCATCAGTTTAGAGCCATCTATCTCCTCTGTCCCTCCCTACCTCTGGCTTTCCTACCCCACAGACCTGTACTTCCGGCGGCAGCAACTATTATAGTCTGGAGCTCTGTGCAGCGCACTTTGGGTGGTAAGTCGAGTCTGGGTTAACAGAGGAGCCTGGTATGGAGATGGGAAACAGAGTCAGAGTCTTCAGAGCTAGAAACATGTCAGAGCCCTTCAAGCCTAAGGTGTGCAGCAGGCCCACCTGAAACACACATCCCCCCCTCCCTGACTACCTCAGCCTTGGTCTCTGATCGCCTCAATTCATTCTGTTGTCTTGGACTCTGCTCCATTCCCTTTCCTGGCTGCTTCTTGCCATAGAAAAGCTGCAGGCCTGAAGACAGAGAGGAAGAGAATTAAAAAACAGAATAGCAAGAGTGATCTTCAGAGATTTGGAGGGTTTATTCTCTAACTCCGTCTTCCCTCCAACTTACTGGACAGATGTTTCTTGCCTGCACGGTGGGCAGTCAGCATGGCCAGGGTGTCCAGTACAGGTCGGTGGGGACAGATGGCACATGCAAAGCTGGGTATTAGGGGAGAACATATTTGGTTCTGGGTGAGTGGGGTCTGGTGTGTAGGTCCCACCTTGACCTAGCAATCCTTTCCAAAGCCAAACTCTGACGTCTCCCAATCTCCACCACCCAATCCCTCACTCCCCACCAAAGAATCCAGATACTTCCGCTCTTCCCCTTAATAACAAAATTTGATTAAGCCTCTAACCGCAGAACCCTGGGATTGATCACTCCTCGCCCTCACCGTCCATCCCGCAGCATCAGCGCCTCATCCTCTGGGATGTAACTGGCCAGCAGGTCCCCGACTCTTCGTTTCTACAGTGGGTAATGGGGCAGGATTGGCGGGATAGGAGGGCGGGACGGAAGGGAAACGACAGGGACCAGGATTGAATAGGAATACGGCCCATGAGAACAGAGATCACAGGGCGAAGAAGGGGGTCACTACCCAGCTCTAGTCGCTCCCTCCCGCGCCCACCCCCGCCACCGCAGCTGTTGCCAGAGCAACAAAAACAGCTCCTTCCCCCGGCAGTGAAACTGCTGCCGACGCTCTCCTCTCTTCTCCGCTTACTTTAAGCACATTGAGTTGACTCCAATCATCCCCTTCCCTCTTGAAAGACATTACGACTGACTCCCAGAAGCGAGCAATTCTCCTGAGCCGCGTCCCCCACTCCTTCCAGGCCACCGTAGCAAAAATGGGGCGTCTCCTTTTTCCTTTGGGTTTCTTTCCGGTTGGCCTCCTTACTTCCCTGGAAGCGCTTCCCTGCATTCACAGCGCGACTCGAGAGCCCGCCCACAGCCCGCCGAGGGAACCGCACTTCCTGCGCGATCCGGCGACCCCTGCACGCGCGGGGCCTTTTGGGATATGAAGTCTTTTTTCAAAGAGCTTGCCGCTCGGCTGCCTCCCGACCCTTGCATCTTGGCTGATTCGAGGCGTCCGGAGAGACAAGAACCTGAATGTGGAGACCGATTTTGATGCTGTGACGGATTTGATGCGGAGCGGGCCTTGGAGGATCTCTGAGTGGAAAGTGTACTACAAATTCTTTCGCGGCCTTCACGCGCCTCCTCCGCCGCCGACCGCCCACCAGGGGTGGGCCGGATTTATTCCTGACACGAGCCGGCCAGCCCCGGGACGGGACGGAGCCTGGGTGTGGGGGGTAACCCCCGAGGCCGGGGCTGCCAGACCTGGGGCAGGGTGGAAACTGAGCAGAGTGTGGAAGAAGGTTTACCGTTCAAAAGTCAGAGGTCAACGTAGCGAATTGTGGTGGGAGGGTCCAAAGTCAGTAGGGTGCTAAGGGTAGTCTCAGGTAGGGACTGAATATTCAGGGCGCAGATTTGTTGGAAGGGGGCTTGGAAGGCGGACAAACGAGAGCTCAGGAGGCGCGTAGTGCCAGGGGAGGCGGAGAATTAGGAGAGGAGGCAGGAGGGGAGAGGAATCCCCTGGTTATCCATTCCTAGACCTCAGTCCCGTCACTATCGGGCACTTAGCCAGGCCTCCCTTAGTTGCAAGCCCAGCTGTCGGCAGGGTGAGGAGATGGCTTCTCCCTCTAGACAGGCCCCCCTCGGGGGGTCAGGACTGCTGCAAGGGAGCAGGGCTCGTTCTTACGGAAGCCTGGTGCAATCTGCCTGCTCCCCGGTGAGGGAAAGACGCCTGGAGCATCAGTTGGCCCCCGGAGACACCCTGGCTGGACTAGCACTCAAATACGGGGTAACGGTGAGTCTTCCACAATCGGAATGCAGACACTATTTAGAAGAAATTTATTCTTCATTAGAACGTAGTGACCCTTCTAGGCAACTTCCCCAGAAATTTTCCTAATTGTGTTGTGGGCTGATTCACCTTTATCTTTTTCTTTTCCCATCTCAGTGTTGCCCTGTCTGGTTGGGACAAATCTTGTGCCACTATACCAGTGGAGAGGAGCTGCTTCTATTTATTCTGTCAGTCTCTATCCTAGAGACTTTACATACATTGGCCCATTGGTTTTCACATCCCTACCAAGCATACAATTATTGTCTGCTGTTTATGGGCGAAGAAACTGAGATCTAGATTGGCTAACCAATTTAACCAAGGTCAAATAACTAATGAGTGTTAGAGCGGGAATTAAAACAGGTCTGACTCCAAAGCTCATACTATTAACCACATAAAAACTTTTTAATTGCAAGTGATTGAACATTTACAGCAAACAATGGAGAGCTGGTTTCTAATTCTAAATTTTTATGAGACCAGAACTCTAACCACTCTAGTTTTAAGTTGTTGTTGTTGTTTTAAGATTTATGTATTTATATTGGGGGAGGGGAGGTGAATTGCAGAGGGAGAGGGAGAGAGAATCCCAAGCGCACTCACAGGCAAGCATGGAGCCCTCCCCAGGACTGTAAGGCCAGGACCTGAGCAGAAATCAAGAGTCCATCGCTTAATCGACTGAGCCACCCAGACGCCCCTACTTCTAAGTTTGTAAACTCGATCTCTTCTGGTTCTTTTTTACTCCTCAGCTCTGTGCCTTCTTTCCAGTAGGGTGGCCTCCATGGTACAAAACAGGCACTCTCGGGACGCCTGGGTGGCTCAGTTGGTTAAGCGGCTGCCTTCGGCTCAGGTCATGATCCCAGCGTCCTGGGATCGAGTCCCACATCGGGCTCCTTGCTCAGCAGGGAGCCTGCTTCTCCCTCTGCCTCTGCCTACCACTCTGTCTGCCTGTGCTCATGCTCT